ACGGTATGAGTTAAGTGCAACACGTTCACCATCTTTATGTGTTAAATCATTGATCATTGCTCTAATTGAAATATAAATTCTACTTTATTTCTTCGATATGAATTTAATGCTTACAAATGTGCAACTTGTGAACATGCCCAACCAAATTGAAAAATAATAATAAACAGTGCATAATAAATAAATTGTACCCATAAATAACTATCTTTACATCCAATACATAAATTAAAACAAAACGGAAAAGAAATAAGTACACAAATAACACCAATAAGATGCCAAGTTTTTCGTCTTCCATAATGGCATAGACTAGTTCGTGTACGATCAGATCCCCAACCAACAAATACTGTTGATATAGCATCAGCTATTTGTCCAATTAAAAGTAAATAACCCGCAGATGCATTTGAAAAATTCACAACACGATAATCAAATACAATTAGATATGAAAACCACATTGCTATAGATAGATCATTTAGAACATGGCCGACGCTATAAGCAAATTTAGATGTTTTTGAAAGCACATCTGGTTCTGAGATACTTTCTTTCATGATGATCTATAAATCTATGACTTGAATAAATTAAAAATAAAGAAAATAATAAGAGGCGCAAAAGTCTTTAGAAAAATGTTGAGCTATGCAGCGCAGCCATTTTGGGGGATAGAAAGCTAATTTTTTTTTCTTAGAAAGAATGCGTCAAGTACTACAAAAATCTATATTTAGATAACCGAATAAAGTCCATCGCGCCACATAGCTCGAAGCTTCTTCCGTACATCCTCCACCATGGCTTGCAACATTTTCCGATCAAGCTCTTTTGCCTTTTGCTCAATTCTCTTAGCCAAATAATCACTATTTTTTGCTGCCCAATTGTTTTCATATATTTTTCGTTCAAGTAGAATCCATACGATTTCAATGGGACGAGCTTGTGCCGCATTTGGTGGATTGTCAGCAGGAGCAATAAATGGTATATTTTTCTCGTTTAAAAGTTGTTGAACGATATTTGAATAATGAGCTCTTGCTAGATCGGGCCAAAATACATAATTTTCATCCGAATGATTTTTGTCGATAAATGGCAACAGTCTTTTATTAATACATTCTTTTAAGTATGTTTCTTAATTGACAGCTTGCTTGCTTGTATGAACATAAACATTCGAAACACCCTTCGAAGATACGGCCATCCAAACCATTACTTTTGGTTCGAATTTCGCTTTCTTTTGGTACTTGATATTTGAAGGAGCTGCACTTGGATCAGTTGAATCAAAATAACGATTTCCAATGACAATATTTCCGGATAATTTAAAGTATTTTTCATCGTCCATAATTAGACCACAGCCGTTTAACAATTTACGCTAAATTTTACCACAGTTTTTTCGTGCTCGTATTTGTTGCTGTTCACTATTCATTTTCGGAGCTTTTCGACGTTTCCTTATAACAACTGAAGTTCGTCGTCGAAGATTACGTGAAATGGTTGAATGATTCACTCGAAATCGTCGTCCAATTTTACGTTGACTTAGACCACATCGATTGTTTACAGCTTTAACATTATCATTCATATTCTTGTTGGATAATTTGAGAGGACGACCGCTTAGAGGAAGATCGTTTGTAGTTCCATATTTTAAATACTTTTTTAATACATAATATATCGTACTTTGTGGAATGTTTTGCTTTTTAAAATAATTTACCGTAGTTTTTACGGATTTATCAGATGAGTCATAGTAAAAGTTGCAAATACGTTGTGCTAGTGCTTCTCTTTCTGCACGTGTCAGTTTTTTTTTGTGAATCAACAGTAACAATTTAGTATATACCATTGCAAAGAGGAACGATCAGGCTATCAACTGATAACAAAATGTTTATACGAACATGCGCTCGATAGAGAGAAATAACCCTCAACGTTTTCCGAAAGACTTTTGCACCGCTTATTAAATAAATTCTCTATGTTATTGACAATCAGAAAATTACAAAATAAATTAACATAATAACAAAAAAGTCAAAAATTAGAAATGAATGCGTTACGACCATGACCGGTTTTTTTTTCAAGACACTAGATTTTAACCAATTCCCGAATTTTTGTATTTTAACAGTTGATATAATTTTCAAGTATGCATCATTAAAATGAGCGGATCAACAAACGTTTATACAAGTTAATAAAATAACTGGATAAAGACGCAAAAATTTGGACATTTTAAAAGATATGTCAAAGTGTTCCAAGAAAATATTTTAACGACTGTGTAATGGTATCTATTTACTAGATTCCCAAGTAAAACCTATTGAAACTCCTAAGGATACCGTTGCATAAGATGATAAATCTGTCATCCCCTTAAGTTACAATTTCAAAAGATTAGAAAGACAGAGCATGAAATTCTGCACATCATCTTTGATGTTTTCGTTGAATGTAAAATAATTTCGGAGAACTGAATAGTTCTAGATTTTCATTGATTTCTCAGTGTTTTTCAAAGTTGTTATTGAAAAAATTTAGAAATCAATGAAACTCAAATACTATTCAGTCATCGAAAATTCTTTGTTCCATTCAACAAAAAAAATCAAAGAAATATGCAGATTTTCATGCTCTGTCTTTCTAACCTATTGAAATTGTAATCTAACGGGGATGGTAGATTTACGATCTTATGTGGCGGTATCCTCTGGGTACTTCTCGATTTCTTACAGAAAGTCTAGAACAACTGTTACGAGGCTCTAAATTCATCTAGAGAAGACAGTAACATTTTCTTTATTTTTTTTCTGTTGTGGTACTGATATTGTACATATCTTGCGATGGAAGGCATTGTATTAAAATGAAAAATGATTAGATATATACAAATCAAATTAAATCCTTCGCTACCAAGCCAACTTACTTAAAATATTAGGTATTCTTGGCATGCATGAACTGAAACTGAGATATTCAATTTTTTAATGAATGTTTAGTGCATGTTCGGTATCCACAATTCAAAATCTCAACATAGTTTTATTCTTTTTTCGTTTTACTTAGATAGACCTCGTCAAGTAGCATAATAGAAAATATCTTTTCAAATGTTAAAAAACAATTTAATGAAAGTCATGTAATTTTAAGTTCAAGTTTTTGTGGGTCCATCCCTCCGTACCTCCCCCCCCCCCTTTCCATTACAGACCTTAGCAACTAGTTTTGAATTCTCTCGAGTATTCTATCCTATGG